TCGGACATCCACTAGTTCCGAGGTCAGCAGCAGTAGCAGCAGCAGCAGTAGCAGTAGCAGCAGCAGCAGCAGCAGCAGCAGCAGCAGCGTCGTCGAATACTTCGGCAATGTCGACAGCGTCGGCTACGTGCACCCGAGCGCCTCTCGGGACTTCACGGCAGCGCTCGAGAAGCTCGTCAAGGCGAGCGCGCGCCCGCTGCAGCTCGCCCTGCGAGGGCTGCACATGCGCGTGACCTTCGTGGAGGAGAGAGTCCGGCGCTTGCACGAGCAGCGGCGCGAGGACGGGCCCCAGGACGACGCGCACGAGGACGAGGGGGAAGCTCGTGGCGAAGGTAAGACCGGGAGAGGGGGCTCGCAGCAACAACTGATGTCACTGCAGTCCCTCTGACCGGGAGGGCCTTGATTTGAGTCCCGGCGGTGGCAGGATTTTCGATATTAGCTTGTCAGCTAGGTCGAATTCAGTCGCTGTCTGGAGGAGAATTCTTGCGGCCGGCTCTGATCGGAAGTTTGCCGTGGTTTCTCCGATTAACACCAGGCGAGGGCCAGAGAACTACCCTACCAAACGGGACACGGACCGCGCGCGACCTTTCCTACCTCTTCCTTTTCCTATTCTTTCTTCTTACACTAACAAGCACACATGCCGGGAGACCGGTCCGGAGCTTAGTTTGTCCCGGCTGGGGCGGTGACGCGCTGGTGGGAGATACCTGGTTGGGGAAGCTAGCCGACGGTAGATCGGCGCCGGATGTCCCCATACAGTGGTGGAAATATCACCGCCCCCTCCAGAGCAAAATAACGTGCATTACACTTACGGGACTAATGACCCTGTTAGATGTGCCCGTAATCAGTAAAGCAGTCAATCAAATCAAAGGTAAGGACCGGCAAAGATGGCTCAAAGAATCAATGAATGCGCTCAGGATAATAACAGCAGATCCCAACCGACCTCGCGTATTCAGATAGAACAGTGCTGTCCAACTGGTGACCGCGGGCCGCATGCGACCCGCGGTGCAATTTATCGTGACTCGCGGAAGGTCATTAGGCAAACCCGAAATTCCTTTGCATGCATGTCGGACGAAAATAATGCGTGCTTAGCCCAAGTACCCTATCGGGGTCAACACCTCTCTCTGCAATGTAAAAATAGGTGAAGTTTAGATTTGTTTTGTTCTAGTAAATTCATAAACACAAAGTAATTGCAATGTGTGTCGATGCGTTGTGGGATGGTACGGCCCGATATCAGGCATGGTTCCATATCCCTCTCCCTTTCAGAGCAGAACTGCTGATACCAACAATGTATCAAGTGAGTATCGCCCGATTAATGAAAATGGACCCGCAACCATAAACGTTTTAGTTGTAGCCATTGAGGCCTTGTAAGTTGGACATCCCTGATTTAGAAGTATGACTGTAAACTCCAGCCGCATGTATCTGATATACGCCGAAATATCAAATAAATTGGTCATTGCAAAGCCGTCAAAAATATACCTTCAAACATTTGTCCGGCGTGAAAATGAACGTGAACGAAAATATTCGTTTTTCTCAAAACCAACTTTGGTTGGGATTTATTATTATTCTGAGCATTTCAATTGATGTCGCTGCTGCTCCTCTGACCGGGAGTTTCCTAGGGGTCCACTCCAACGGTGGCAGGATTTTCTGCATCAGCTAGACAGCCACGTCGAATTCAGCCGCTGTCTGGAGAGGAATTCTAGCGGCCGGCTGCTCTGATTGGTGGTTTTGCGTGGTTTCTCCGATCAATAACAAGTGGATGCCGGAGCAGTAATTTACCAATACCATGGACAGCGCGCGATTTTTCCTTCCTCCTCCTTGTCCTATACTGAACCTTTACCTATATTTACACTTCCATCACTACCACACGTGTCAGATGATTATTCGGGAGCTTAGAACTAGTCCCGATTTGGGTGATGCCTTGCTGGTGGGAGATACATGGTTAGAGAAACATTGCGAGCTGACGTGTAGGCCGACACTGAATCTTACCATCTAACGTGGAAGTACGTCACCTGCGATAAACATACGAACTACACATAAGGGACTAGTGCTGGCAGTTGAGCGTTCGGGAATACTAAATCAATCAATCGGGAATACTAAATCAATCAATCAATAGCACTAGAATGACTGACGGAAACTAGTGTGTTCTTGGCTTTTGGTAAATCGCATGTGCTCACATTAGGCTAGATGCGTAACGAGAGGAAGGTTTGTTGCAACTCCGTAGTTTACGAATTTATTTTCGACCACCTTGATAAAATAATTTATCTAATTTGCAAAGGTCAGTCCGAAACAGATGCACACATTCTGAAGTTAGCCGAATGGTCAGCCTATTAAATTTCATAATTGTAGTATCTTGAAGTAGTAATTGCAAATACGAGAGAAATTCTCTCAAGTTTTCTATAACTTTCGTTTTGCCAGATGCTAGAAAAGTGGTGGTTGATTATTTCCCCAGAATGATTATTATATCTACACTAAAGGTCATTTTTCGATGAAGATAAATTATATTAACGGAGAGCGAACATTTTTTTTGTTAATAGGTTTTGTCAACAACGCTAATTGCATTTGAAGTCGTCCTTGTCCTTGTAATAGAACAACCTGGAAGTGAAGTCTTCTAATGGGTAATCATTTCATGTGGGATTGGGTCATTACTTGAAATTTAGTTAAAAATAGAATTATTTAATGGTGTGTGTTGACATTATAGATACATACTTTGAATGACGGAAGCAGTTTTGAGGTGTTTGTGCCGTTTCAATTAATCTTTGTAGTTTATTATATATTTTGATGTTATTTAGTAACTTTTAAATTATTTCTCTTATCTTTGAAATACTGAATTACAGTTTTATCGTCTTAATTTCCGGGATTGTTTGATTCTTTCTACTCTGCAATTTTAAACACTTGGGTATGATTTAAATGACAGCTCCATTGACCATATTGTTGATACATAAACATCGTATAATTTATAATACTTGATATTATATTGCTGGTTATATGAAGACGTGTAAAAGAATTGTCAACTCCGTAAATTAAAAATGTTGCTCGCAATATCGATCAAATGCACGAGTAACCTTCTGCAACTATTTAATAAATGGCTGACGAAATGCCCTATCAAATAGACATTCCTAGAAATGGAAAACGCCAAACGAAATTAAATTCTAGGTCCGATTTACAGGTTCTGAACATACGCGTGTTCACTACAAAGTGTGTTATAGGACGATACATTAGGCAAGTGCTGCGACGCGCCTACCAGAGGACTACCCAAGACTGTTCTTAAAAATGTTTTAAAAAATCTCTACAGTTTCGTGCAAAGTAGGTACGCCTATTTTGCTTAGGGAAGTGAGAATTTAACACCTTCCACCCTTGAGTTGCGAGTTACATTTTAATTCAGTTCCGTGATACCTGTGAAGGGAGTTGTAAACAGAATTCTTTATACGTGTTCGGGTAAATTAACATTAGAACTTTGCATTCAACCGACGGGCGCACTAGTACGCCACCCTCCACACACACACACACACACACACACACACACACACACACACACACACACACACACACATACACACACACATACACACACACATATACACACACACATATACACACACACATATACACACACACATATACACACACACATACACACACACACATATACACACAGAGCTCCACCTGGCGTCCGTCTGGGCGAGGTCAGCGTTCGAGAAGGTCAAGGCGAGGGCCAGGAATGCGACCGCGCAGGCAAGGGCAGCCTGGACAGGACGACGAGACGTCGATCTACAAGCCGCGACCTACCTTCAGAAATAAAACGTCATGTGGCGAGACCCAAAGAGAGCTCTAGAGGTGCTGCGGCAACGCGCAGGCTTCGTCACATTTAAAACGAAATATCTGGAGTAATAAATATTGTTCCTAGTTCAGTTTTGAAGTGTTTGTGACTGAGTGGCTAAACTATATATATATATATATATATATATATATATATATATATATATATATATTCGCGTAATTAACATGACTTAAGTTTTCGCAACTTAAATATTTCAGTTGTAGGTGTTTTACCAAAAACCATTCCCAATGTGCACTTTTGGCAGTCGTATCAAAAAAACCTTTGGTAGTATTTTTGACGTAAGTTGTTGCGCAGTTCAATGCTGATTAATAAACGTTTGGTTTTCTAATTGTAGGTGTCCAGTAGTGCTCCCTTTTCGAATGGACAAAGAAACCAACTTTTCTTTATCCCTCCTCCACACACACTACATTAATTGCAATGCAAGCTTGATACGGTGGCTCGTATTACTACCTTTCAAGCGTCGCGTCAGTGGCCAGAAGATTCTAGGGTTCAACGTCGACGGGACGGGGGCAGATTTTCGACCGCTACATATCTGGGTGTACATTTTAGCATCCGGCTATGCTGATAGGTAGTTCCTCGTAGTTTCTTCGATCAGCACAAAACAGTGCTGGACTGTACCCAAACAAAAGAGCAATTGACTGCACGCCATCTTTCATTCCTCATCCTTGACCGCTCCTATCCCTATAACACACACACACACACACACACTTCCTACATGAACCACCTTACCACCCATGTCAGAGGTTAAGTCGGAAGCTTAGAGTTTATCCCGTGAGAGTAAGATGGGAAAACTTCCCTAGCCCACGTGGAGGCCGGGGCCGAATATCATCTCGAGGAAAAACCACGCTTCCAACGCGATAGAAGTATGCACTATACTTACAGCACCAATAACCTATTAACATGGTAGTTCCACAAATAAGTACTCCCTCGTCGCGATATTCTGCATGATACAATGTATTTGATAGCGACATCTGCGCTTTTGATTTTCGTTAGTTTGACAAGCAATTCATTAATTACCTTCCTTTATTTCATTTTTTCTGTACAGAAACGTTAACCACTTGTGCTGATCGGCGCACATTGGAATATTGTTAAGTTAGAGTATCGTTTTATGTCCATTACTGAGTCTTTTAATTTGTTTTCGCCGCGATATGTATTAAATCGTATGGTTTTGACTATCATTGCAGAACTCAACACGGCCACCTACAGCGCCTCCTGGCGGGCTATAGACTCCTTGACGCGTCGCATGGAGGACCTGGAGAACGCGATGGTGGAGCTCAACACGGCCGTGCGACACACCCAAACGCTCCACTGGGCCACGACGCAGGCGTTTGTTGATATCCAGAGGGTCTCGCCCTCAAACCTCGCGGCCACCACGATGTCCCCAGACGTCCTCATAGCACACTCCGCCTCGTCCTCAGATTCCGACCTTTCCTGGCACTCCGCAACTTCATTGCGTTCCGGCAACAACACACTAACATCGTTCCAGCCCTTGCAGTCAGCCTCCAGCTCACCATCCATCCACTCCGACCCGTCCTCACTTCCAGACTACAGCGCTTTATTCTTGCATTCAGGTCCCTCCTCCTTCCCAGGCCCCAGCGCCATATCCTTGCAATCTGTCGTGTCTCATCCAGACACTACTCCCTTATACGTGCACCGCGCCCCGTCCTCATATCCAGACACATCCTTGCTCCACGACCCGTCATCGTGTCCAGACACTAGCTCCATGTCCCTGTGCCGAGACCTGTCCTTCAGTCAAGACACCAGCCTTATGTCAATGCAACGCGACCAGTCGTCTTATCTAGATGTCAGCGCCACGTCCTCGCATTCAAGACACAGTGCAACCTCCCTGTCCCGTGAGATGTGCTCACGTACAGACACCAACGGCCCATTCTCGCCCAGAGAACCGCGCCCGTATCCACGCCCCAGTGCACCGGCCTCCCCCTCCGGTTCAGACACCCCCACGAATCTCTCTGTTCTCGTTACTCACTTGGCCCCAACAATCTCCTCAGTCACACAGTCAGACGTTCTCTCTCCCCTCTCTGTAAATGCCGAGAAACTTGAAACACCCACTATCTCTTATGACGTATCGTCTGCTGCAACACTACCAATCGCTTGTACTTCCACCGTTGCCGAAACCTTCTCTACAATCACAAGCACTGTAGATCCAACTTCTGCTGCTCCATCCCCGCCTCCAACATCCTCTGCTCCATCCCCGCCTCCAACATCCTCTGCTCCATCCCGGCTCTAACATCCTCTGCCATCCCGCCTGCCAACATCCTCATGCTCAATCCCCCGTCCACATCCTTGCTCATCCCCGCCTCCCAACCTCTGCTCATCGCTCACATCCTCTGCTCATTCCAACATCCTCTGCTCCATCGGCCGCTCCAACTGCCTCTGGCTCCATCCCGCCTCAACATCTCTGCTCCATCCCTCGCCTCGCAACATCCTCATCTGGCTCCATCCCCCAGCTCTGCCTTCATAACATCCTCTGCTCCATCCCAGCCTCCAACATCCTCTGCTCCATCCCGCCTCCAACATCCTCCTTGCTCCATCCCGCCTCTCAACATCCTCTGCTCCAATCCCCGCCTCCAACATCCTCTGCTTCATCCCCCTCCAACATCCTCTGCTCACTCCCGACCTCCAACATCTCTGCTCTCCCCTATGGGCTCCATCCGTTCCCGTCCACCCCGCCTCCAACATCCTCTGCTCCATCCCCGCCTCCAACATCCTCTTGCTCCATCCCGCCTCCACATCCTTCCTGCTTCCCCGCCTCCAACATCCTCTGCTACCATCCCGTCTCCAACTCCTTCTGTTGCGTCCGGGCATCTCTCAGTTCGTCCTCGCACCTGTTCCGGTCCCCGTCCGGCATCCCATCCCCAGCTCGAACGCAGACTGTTTCCGTTCCCTCTCCAGCTATGTCTCAGATTTCTATTCCCTGCTGTCTATACACGAATCCACCTTTCATTGCCCTCTCCCCATGGTCGGCATTCATTTGCCCTATGTTTCTTCATCTATTCCTTCATTCCGAAGCCTCCGCAAGCTAAGTCACACTGCGCCTACAATTTACCGCCCGACAAAAACTTTGATTCATCTTGGCTTGATATACAAATAAACCTACCCTTCAGTCAAAGACTTGCGATACGTTTCGGAGGTATTTCGCTATGGCATCAGCTTTTTCAAAAGGGCAAAAGTTCTCTTTCGTGGGATCCCATCCGCCTAACCGTACTTTTTCATTTTCTGCGGTTTTACCAAACTCGGTTAGGGGACTTCCACCCAGCTTCGCCTTCATATGCCACGTCCACCTCTGTGGGATTGCGCAACGCAGCGCGAGACTCCGAGGCCGCCCTCGATGAGTGACCTTGCCCTATATAATGCGGCAAGCCCTGCTTCTGTAGAGTCCTCTCACACGTCCTAACCTCTCAGCAGTGGTCTGTATCTATTTTCCTCCTGAGAACAGCAAAGACCTCCGACGCACTTTTCTGACGTCAAGTTCGATCGGGCTACCTCCTACATATGTATCTCAAACAGCACATCGCCTCTATCTTAGCCTCCGATATCGAAGTGCAGGAGTTTCTCCATTTCTTTCTCAGGACGCTCCGCTGCGAGCTTGTCACCATTTTCTCAACCACCGGCACGGTGGCCATCGAGCAGTCTTTGCATTCATCCATTGCTTTACAGACATACTGCCGAGAGTTCTAGAAGGAAACGCCCATTATATACGTTGCGGCTCCCTGCAGAGCCGCCAGAGCCACCATCAGTCCAGAGATCACCGCTATTCTCCCTCAAAGTCAGTCTTCACGCGACCAACGCCGGCGAAAGCGACCGTCTCCCGACATAAGTTTCGACTGTCATCTCGGAAACGTTCCGGCATTCCCAAATGCCAACCGCCAAAGTACTTGCACTCCACCATTCGGCTTCCAAAGCGCGCCTTCGAATGCATCTACGACGCTCAGCCGCCAGTAAGTGCTTCCAATCTCTTCGAGCAGTCGTTCACCATCCTTCTAAAACCTTAGCCGAAGCAACTCCTCTACCTTTCTGATCACTACTTCTGACCAAACCTGTTCTTTCCTCGTCTCGCTTCGCCCGTCACACCCACACCAACTAACACCAGCCTCCCTACCATTCTCTTCCCCTCGTCTCACCCTCCCAATCTCTGCCCCTGCACTATTCCAGGAAGATCGTCCGTAACGGCTTTGTTCCCCCGTCATAATAGTGCACACGTCTGTGGGGAGTTTTGCCTAGCGTGTTCGAGACTTCATAGAAAAACTTCGGATCTTCTCAATATCACCGACATCACGACTTTCCAGTGATCGTCACCAGCCCACAATCGAGGACAAGCCATGGAAAAATCGAGGTGGGTCCGTTCTTCTGCTTTTGGTGCCACTTCTCCACGGTCCTGCCGTCCCCTCTCTCAGTGTGAGAGAGGTAATTACCCCAGTGTCCCAGCACTCTCTTCCCTGTAGAGAGAGTTCCACAACTCAGCTAATCCAGCTTCCCCTCCCAGTGGCAAAATAGATCAAATCGATTGGCGGTCCAGCGCCCCTTCTCCCAGTGGGAGAGAGGTCCACAACTCCGGCGTCCCAGCGCCCCTTCTAACAGTTGAGAGAGGTCCCACAGTCCGGGTCCAGTGCCCCTTCTCCCAGTGGAGAGAGGTCGCACAGTCCCGGCGTCCAGTGCCTTCTCCCATTGGAGAGGAGGTCCACAGTCCGGGCGTCCAGTGCCCCTTCTCCAGTCGGAGAGAGGTTTCCACAGTACCGCGTCCAGCGCCACTTCTCCCCAGTGAGAGAGAGGTCACAGTCCGCGCGGCGTCCAGCGCCTTCTCCCAGTGGAGAGAGGGTCACCAGTCCGGCGCAGCGCCCCTTCTCCCAGTGGAAACAGAGGGTCACAGGTCCCGGGTGGCCCAGACGCCCCGTTTTTCTCCAGTGGATGAGGGGAGGTTCACATCCGGCGTCCAGTCGCACCTGCTTCTCCAGTGGGGAGAGGTCACAGTTCCGCGCGTCAGTGCCCCCGTCTCCAGTGGAGAGAGGGTACCACTAGTCCGGAGATCCAGTGCCCTTCTCTCCAGTGGGAGCGGTCACAGTCCGGCGTCCGTGTCCTTCTCCCAGTGGAGAAGACGGTCACAGTCGGCGATCCAGTGCCGCCTTCTCCCGTGGAGAGAGGTCCACAGTCCCGCGTCAGGTGCCTTACTTCCAGTGGAGAGAGGTCCACACGTCCGGCGTCCAGTGCCTTCTCCCAAGTGAGAGAGGTCCACAGTCCGGGCGTCCAGCGCCCTTTCTCCACGTGGAGAGAGGTCACAGCCCGGGTCCGCGCCCCATTCTCCCAGTGGAGAGAGGTCAAGTCCGGCGTCCAGCCGCCCTATTCCCTTGGAGAGAGGTTCCACAGCTCCGGGCGTCCAGCGGCCCCTTCTCCCAGTGGAGAGGGTCCACAGTCCCGGCGTCCAGCGGCCCTTCTCTCCAGTGGAGAGAGGTCCAAGTCCGGGGTCCAGCCGCCCCTTCTCCGGTGGAGAGAGGTCTGCAGCTCCGACGTCCAGTGGCTCTTCTCTTCAGTGAAGAAGGGCTCCATAACCGGGTTTCCCCAGGGCGTCACGTCAGCATCTGTTTTCGCACTGAGCGGAGAGGCCACTGGGCCGAGCACGACTTTTGGGCGATGCTCGAAGCGTGGCGTCGGCGGAGACGCGCGAGGTTCAGGGCCGGCGCTGGATTCGGGTGCAACATGGGGTCGTGCAACATGTGGGGCTACACTGCCCTTCCACGATTGGCCGCCTACGGCCGGAGAGCCTCTTGCCCTCTTCGTGCTGGTCTCAACAGGGTGAGATGTGCGCGAGTTGCTTGAAAGGACCATTTTTTCTGAATGTAGCCAGCGCCTCCTATTCTGCCTTTTCCACCAGTTTTCTCCGTTTCCTTTGTGTTTGTTCTCACCGTTCCTTTGTGCGTTGGTTCTCCGTTTCCTTGTGTTGTGCTTCGTTTCCTTATGTGTTGTTTCCGTTCCTTGTGTTTTGTTCTCCGTTTCCTTTTTGTGTGTTCTCCGTTTTCCTTTGTGTTGTTCTCCGTTTCCTTGTGTTGTCTCCGTTTCTTTGTGTTTGTTCTCCGTTTCGCTTTGTTGTTTGTTCTCCGTTTCCTTTGTGTTGTTCTCCGGTTTCGTTTTGTGTTGTTCTCCCGTCCTTTGTGTTGTTCTCCGTTTCCTTTGTGTTGTTCTCCTTTCCTTTGTGTTGTTCTCCGTTTCCTTTTGTGTTGTTCTCCGTTTCTTGTGTTGTTTCTCCGTTTCTTTGTGATTGTTCCCGTTTCCTTGTGTTTTGTTCTCCGTTTCTTTGTGTTGTTCTCGTTTCTTTAGTGTTGTTTCTCCGTTTCCTTTGTGTTGTTTCCGTTTCCCTTTTGTGGTTGTTTCCGTTTTCCTTTGTGTTGTTCTCCGTTTCCTTTGTTGTATGTTCTTCCGTTTCCTATGTGTTGTTCTCTCGTTTTCCTTTGTGTTGTTCTCGCGTTTCCTTTGTGTTGTTCTCCGTTTCCTTTGTGTTGTTTCTCCGTTCTTTGTGTTTGTTCTCCGTTTCCTTTGTGTTGTTCTCGTTTCCTTTGTGTTCGTTTCTCCCGTTTCCCTTTGTGTTGTTCTCACGTTTCCTTTGTGTGTTTCTCCGTTATCGCTTTGTGTTGTTTTTCGACGTTTCCTTTTGTGTTTTCTCCGTTTCCTTTGTGTTGTTTCCTCCGTCTTCCTTTGTGTTTGTTCTCACGTTTCCTTTGTGTTGTTCTTCCGTCTTCGCTTTGTGTTGGTTTCCGCGTTTCCTTTGGTGTTTGTTCTCCGTTTCCTTTGTGTTGTTCTCCGTTTCCTTTGTGTTGTTCTCCGTTTCCTACCGCTTTAGACGGAAGCTGCGCAACTCTGTCTTGTGCGAAACGACTCACGAGCTTTCTGAGCGACATGCCTTGCACCTACAGCTCAAAGTGCCCAAACTACAACGTAATTCAAGATAACGCCCGCTATGTGACGCGCGTTGCCAACAGCGCTCGTGTGTCGTTTCGCACAAGATACAGTGCTAATCTACGACGCGCGTGTAGTGACTTAAGATCATGCATTGTCGCGGCTAACGTCATCAGTGCTAAGTAGTCCGCGTCAACGCTACGCTCGTGTGCAGTGGCCCTTATGAAAGTGGTTTGCGTGTCGCGCGTGCGCAGGGCGCGCACGTGGGCGCGAGCAGCGACGGCGGCTGGACGGCGCTGCACTGCGCGGCGGCGAGCGCGGCGGGGCCGGAGCCGGCGCCGG